CTGTAAATGGGGCTGAAATCAGGGGATCAAAAGGCATGAAGAGCTAGCACCAAGCACGATGCTTGGCCTACTTTTGGTATTTACTAAATGTCTTCTGACCTGGCCCTCCTTCGGACCTCAACCACATCAGACACAGCATTGTGAGGGTTTCTCCCCTGAGCAAAGTGGCTTTGTGTGAAGTTGCTAGGCCTGAGTTTCCCCATCTGTCCCATGAGCAGGTTGACCCGGATGGCCGGTGCTTCAGCTGCCCCCACAGACCTCTCTGCGTCCCATCGTCAGTGCCCTCAGCGGAGGGAGACGGGGCCCTGGGGTGTTCGGAGAAATGGACACTCACTTCCATTCAGGATTGAACAGCTTGGTAGATTTGTGGATCTGCGATTCATTCATCCATTCATTTAGTCAACCATTGATTAGGTCATTTGTCAACTACACAGCCAGCCTAGTGGCTGGTCAGCTCACAGCATGTTCTGGTCCTTGTACTGCTTCTAGACCCGTAAGCTCAACCCGAGAGAAAGAGAACAGAAGAATGAGAATAAACAAAGTCCAACTGCCCATAACACCACATTGAGTGAAAGAAGGCAGACCCCAGACTGAACGTACTGTGGGATTTTCTTTGTATTACAAAAGGGTCACACACACACACAAAGTGTCAATACATGCAAAACCAACCGAGTGTCAGAAGCCACGATAAGGATTTTCCTATGCAGGGAATTAGGGAAAGGGTAAACAGTGACTGGAAGGGAGCCTCGGGGGGCTTTGGGGATGCTGCTGATACTCTGTTTCTCAATCTGGGTGCTGGTGAGACAGTGTGTTTGCCTAGAGAAAATTTGTTGAATTGTACATGTAAGCTTTTGCACGTTCCTATATCTACACTGTGCTATATTTCAATAAAAATTTACCAAAAAAAGGCTGGGCGTGGTGGCTCACGCCTGTAATCCCAGCACTGTGGGAGGCCAAGGTGGGCAGATCACAAGGTCAGGAGATGGAGACCATCCTAGCTAACTAACATGGTGAAACCCTGTGTCCACTAAAAATGCAAAAAATTAGCCAGGCGTGGTGGTGCCCACCTGTAGTCCCAGCTAGTCAGGAGGCTGAGGCAGGAGAATCACTTGAACACATGAGGCAGAGGCTGCAGTGAGCCGAGATCGTGCCACTGCACTCCAGACTCCAACCTGGGTGACAGATCAAGACTGTCTCAAGAAAAAAAAAATTACCAAAAAAAAAAAAAAAAAAAAAAAAAAAAAAAAGAAGAAGAAAGAAAGAAAGAAAGAAAGAAAGAAAGAAAAAGAAAAAGCAAGGAAATGCAGAGAGCAGTTCACTGAGCAATTCCAGTTCCAGGAGCTGCTCAGACAACTGGGAGCAACCTAAACGTCTCGGTTCTTCAACTAGAGTGTTAAATCAGTAACGTATCCAATATTACTTAACCATTACAAAGAATTAGGTTGATCGTTATGTAACAACTGCAAAAAACACTGAGAAGTCAGCGGGCGAGCCCAGGAGGCACAGAGCAGCACCCCGTGTGGCAGCGCGCGTGCACAGCCACAGACGCTCTCTGAAGGACACAGGAGAAAGCAGTGGCATTGTGGCCTGCAGGCTCACACTCTCCCCACAGGGGATGTTATCTGTGACCACATCCAGCCTGGCTGCCAGACTTTGCTCTTCCCAGTGGTCTGCAGAGCCTGGTGCCAGTGGACTCAGTGAAGCCTCCAGATGAAAGATCCGTAACAGTCTGAGCTTACAAATTTTCATCCCTCTGATTACAGGCAGGGCCAGAATCAGGGGTTTGACAGTGACCACAGCCTGTCTGTCCATCTGGAAGATGGGCTAGACGTGGGCAGAACAGGGGCTCATGGCTGAAAAGGGCACAGTTCTCACGTGTGCCTTCTGTCCAGGGAGCAGAAACAGAGCCGGGGGCAAGAGAAGCCAGAGTGCCAGGTCAGGGAGAGCTGCTGCTGCCTTCTGTCCTACAGGAAGGAGGACTTGGCAAGGTCATACCAGCAGAGCAAGGACTTGGATCCAGGTCTGACTCCAAAGCCCAGACACGCTGGGGCATCGGCTGTTTGGGGGTATCAGGGAGGGCTTTGCCTGGGAGTCACATGCAATCTTTTTTTTTTTTTTTTTTTTTTTTTTTTGAGAAAGAGTTTCGCACTTGTTGCCCAGGCCAGAGTACAATGGCACAACCTTGGCTCACTGCAACCTCTACCTCCCAGGTTCAAATGATTCTCCTGCCTCAGCTTCCAGAATAGCTGGGATTATAGGTGCCCACCACCATGCCAGGCTGTTTTTCTATTTTTAGTAGAGACAGGGTTTCACCATGTTGGCCAGGCTGGTCTTGAACTCCTGACCTCAGGTCATTTGTCTGAGTCAGCCTCCCAAAGTGCTGGGATTACAGGCATGAGCCATCATGCCTGGCCATCTCATGCAGTCTTACAGAGTCAAAGGAGACAAGGATTGGCATGTTCCACGCAGAAGGAATGCTGTCTAGAAACAGAAAGGAGTGGTGTGACATGACCTTGGGAGCACTGGGTTCTATATTGGGTCATGGGGGCAGGAAGGCAGAAGGGAAAGCAATTTGCGGAACTGGTCAGAAATGATGCAGGAAGTGCTGGCTGGAGCCTGGCTATGAAAACTCATGGGTTCCTGGCCAAGGGGCCTGCAGTCAGTCCCATAACTGTTTGGATTCCAACTGACGGTCTGAATACAGGTTCAGTGCAATCTCTACCTCCAGAAGATCATCCTGGCAGTGAGGTGAGGGCAGATTGTAGGGCGTCTGGCTGGAAGGAGGGAGACGCCTTGGGAGGCAGTGGCAACGATTCAGGCAAGCAGGTGATGGCCAGGACAAGGGCTGGCACGGCTGACCTAAGAGTTTGAGAGGAACTGAGGAAGAAGAGGAGCACAGTGTAAACGACAAAAAAAAAAAAAAGCAACCATGGGGAAGGGACGAGTTAAAGGTGATGCTCAGGTTTCTAGATTCAGGAACACGGTATACAGCTGTGCCCTACAGCGAAGTAAGAAATCCAGATTGGGGTGGAATCTAAGTTCAGTTTTAAGGACACAATTCGAGGTGCCCATGGGACGTTCAAGCAGGGAGGATGGTAGATACTTTCATTTGCTCATTCACCTCCGTGGACAAATGAGACAGACTGCTAGCCTCCCTGGCCTTGGGAGATTCTTTCCGGTGGTGGTACAGACATGAACAAATAACTTAAGTCATGGAAAATGGATAGATCATGAGATATTGTGGAGGCCGAAAACAAGATGGCATTCGGGGACCAGAGGTCAGCCCGAGGGTGCGCTCTAGGTGGACTGCGGGTAAGAGGAAAGGGTGCATCTGGAGGAAAAGCATTCTAGGGAATGGCAATGCGAAGACCTCAGGATGGCAGAGGGGCTGGTGGGACAGGTGACCGAGAGGAGGCCCGGCCTGTCCCTTGAGGGTATGGGGAGAGGGATGGGGCTGGAGAGTGAGGGGCTGGATCTGCAGGAGCTTACAAGCCACAGTGGGGAGCAGAAGATTCCGCTGAGTGCAGTGGGAGCCACTGAAAGGGTTAAAGACCCCTGGGGCTGCTGGGTGGGAAGGGGCTCTGGGAGCTGGAGTGGTCGCAGGGACACCAGTTGGCAAATGCGGGAGTCCCGGCAAAAGAGAATATTCCAGTCTGTACCTAAGAATTTTCACACACAAAACCCCCTGTGCCTGTCTCAGAGCCCCTGGGGTCCTCATGTGAACAGTTCATCACGGTTCATTCATCTTCAGCCCTCTTACTGTTTCAGCAAACACCCTTTCCTCAGCCTGCTCAAACCCTCTGCCCAACCCGAGTGGGCCCCGCAGGAGCCTGGGAGTCACCTGAGTGGGGATCAGAGCCCTGCTCAGGTGAGTGGTGGGGCCCGGCCTGTTCCCCAGAGCCCAGGCCTCTCCGGCTCAGAGCAAAGCCCCGGGGTGCTGGGATTCAGTCTCTGCTCCCGCTACCCTGGATATGAGCTTTCAAGAACAATTCCTCATTGCGGCCTCTGCCCCTTGCATTGAGCGCCAACCCACATCGCGGCTCAGCAAACGCGGGCGCAGTGGACAGACAGAGGGTTGACCCGTCGCTGAGCTGAAGGCTGCGGCGACACAAATAAACAGTATCGCTCTTGCTCTCCACGAACCTGGCCCTGCAGACGCGGGCAAACCACACCAAGAGACGGGAGCAACCAAAATATAGGGAGGAAAAAAAAAGGTGCCCTGGACACCAGGCCAGACCTCTCACGCACGCTCGTGGACTTCCCGGAGGGGGCGACGTTTCCTCCGGGCAAGGGAAGAATGGGCGGGTTTCAGCGGGTGCCTCTCCACTGACTGCCCATCTCAGCTTCCCCTGACCCCTTAACAGAGCGGCAGAGGCCCAGAGACGCTTGAGGAGGGACGCTCAGGCCGTGAAGCTCCGGCTCCGGGTGTCTGCAAAAATGACAGAATGCAGGAATGTCACCTAGAACCAGCCAGCTTTCAGACCTCTCTGGTCAAGGACGCACTCCTAAGAGCCAAAGGTAGAGTGGCAGAAATTAAAAACAAGCAAACAAAAGCCGGGGTGAGGCCTCTAGGTGAGTCTCTGCTACCGATGGATTCAGCCGGTGGAGCTACAAGAGGGTCCTTTAAGCGCGGTTCCCCACTCCCCGCAGCGAGTCCGGCCCCGGCCCTGGGACTTCCCCAGCTCCGCCGCGCCTCACCCTCCGCCCCGCGCGCCCTCGGCGCCGCCGCGACCTTTCCCCTACTTTCCAGGTCCTCAGGCCCCGCCCCTCGCTCCGACCAAAACACGTGCTGCGTCCCGCCCTGACCGATCACGCCGCGGCCAGGCTCCGATCACGCGGCCCCCCGCGGCGCTCATTGGCCGGCCGCGCAAGACCCAGGTGCGGATTGGCTGAATGCGGCCGGCCCCGCCCCGACAGGGGCGCGGTGTATTTTGGTTCGCCTCCGTGCCCCGCCCCGCCGACCGCTCCCTCCGCGGCCGCCCCGCCCCTCCCGCGCCGCGAGGGCCGTGCCGGGGTAGAGCGGCGCGGGCGGGCGAGGCGCGTGCCGGGCGCAGGAGCTCCAGGTCGCCGCCGCCGCCGCTCGTCGCGCACGTGCGACCGCTACTGCGCCCCAGCTTACGCTCCGCGGCCGCTTTGTTGCTCCGGGCCGGCTGGCACGATGCACACGCCGGACTCCGCGGGACAGGGCGACGCGCGCGCAGTAAGTGGTGGGGCTGTCGCGGCGGGAATACTCGTCCGAGCGAGGAGCGAGGCGGGGGACTGGATGCGGAGCCCACGCGCCGGTGAAAGTGGGAGGTGGGACGTGCAGGCCCTCACTACGACCGCGCTGGTGGGGGTCTGGGCGGGCTCCGGAGCCGGCGGGGCGGTGGCCGCACGGGGCGCACCCGAGCCGGCGGGGGCGAGGAGGGGGCGTGTGCCCCGCGCAGCTTTGTCTCGCGCTTCCTGGGCGGCTCCGCCTTGCCGGCCCCGTGGCTATTTCCAGCCATGACGTCACCCCAGTCCAGTGAGCTGGGCGGCCGTTGGGCGGGGGAGCGGCTGGCGGGAACGCGGCACGCGGCCGCGGGGGCGGGGCCAGAGCGGCTGGCGGGAGTGTGGCACGGCCCTGGGGGTGGGGTAAGGCCCGGGGTGGGGGCGGGGTAAGGCCGGGAGGCGGGAGCGCGGCAAGGTCCTGGGGGCGTGGCAACGCACGGAGGCGGGAACGCGGCACGCGGGCGTTGGGGCCCCTGCGCGTCGCGCCCCGGGGGCATCGGGGAGGTAGCGGAGTGGACGTGGGCCGAGCGCGGGCCTCGTGGTGTGCGGGCAGCTGTGTACCCAGCGAGCCCCTTCCCTCCGATGTGGTAAGCAGGCCATGAGGCCGGGTTCTGTGACTTCACAGGGAGTTTCGTGGCGCGACCTGCGGGGCAGAGACCCCGTGTTGTTTGATCTGAGTGAACCCCGGGCAGACAGAAAGCTTTGGTGCTTTGGTGCATGGCAATTTGAGAGAAAACGTGTATCTTCGTACATTTAAAGTTTTCTTTTGATCGAGATCAACTCAGTCTCTTCTCTCCTGCTTAAAAAGAGACAGTGAGGGCCTGGCGGTGGCTTACGCCTGTAATCCCAGCACTTTGGGAGGCTGAGGCGGGCGGATAACCAGAGGTCGGGAGTTCGAGACCAGCTTGACCAGCATGGCGAAACCCTCTCTCTACTAAAAATACAAAAATTAGCAGAGCGTGGTGGCGGTCACCTGTACACCCAGCTACTGGGGAGGCTGAGGCAGGAGAATTGCTTGAACACAGAAGGGGAGGGTTGCAGTGAGCCAAGATCTTGTCATTGCACTCCAGCCAGGGCTACAAGAGCAGAACTCTGTCTCAAACAAAAAAAAAGGCTGGGCCAGGTGGCTCGCACCTGTAATCCCAGCACTTTGGGAGGCAGAGGTGGGCGAATCACCTGAGGTCAGGAGTTTTAGACCAACGTGGCCAACATGGTGAAGCCCTCTCTCTACTAAGAATACAAAAATTAGCTGGGCGTGGTGACAGATGCCTCTAATCCTAGCTACTTAAGAGGCTGAGACAGGAGAATTGCTTGAACCGGGGAGGTTTGGAGTTCCAGACCAGCTTGCTCAACATGGCGAAACTCCCTCTCTAGTGAAAATACAGAAATAAGCCGACATGGTGGCGGACGCTGCAGTAATGGTAGATTATGCCACTGCACTCCAGCCTGGGCAACTGAGTGAGACTCCGTCTTTAAAAAAAAAAAAAAAAAAAGCATCAGGTTTGCTTCCTGTCACCCCCTGGTAGCCTTAGGACAGTAACAGATGACTTCCGTTCTGAATCTGGGGTGGGGAACTAGTGGAATCACCATGGGCCCTACCTGCCTGGAGTCCTGGAGGCCTAGGGGAAAGGCCCCAGAGTCCCTGAGAGCATCTGTAGGGACACTGCTTTGGTGGCTTTGCCACCTCAGAGAGCCATGGTCAGGGTGCCTTGGCCACTGGCAGACCGACTACATGGCCTCTGTGTCGGCTGCTCCTCCCTGGCAGCAGTTTCACCCCAGCCACTGTTTGGCTTGCACCTCAGGAGTTAATTTTATTAATCATTTACCCAAGAAAAGTATGAACTTAGTAGCCTTTTTCAAGAGTCAGGATTTTTGATGGCAATGCTTGCCAGTTTAGTTCAGTCTTTGAAATGTTGGCTTAAGAACCGAGTGGTCCTCTTTTAACATCTTTTACTACAACTGAGTATGTGTTGCTATGGTGTGTTGCGTGTGCATTACATGCCTAGTGCAGGCTTCTGGTATGCATAGCCACATGGCCATCATGGGTGACCTCTGTAGTTCCCCTGCACTGAGAAGCTGTTGTGTTGTGTCGCCTCTAGGTTGGCATCATGGACATATGTGAGTCCATCCTGGAGAGGAAGCGGCATGACAGCGAACGGTCTACATGCAGCATCTTGGAGCAGACAGACATGGAAGCTGTCGAGGCTCTTGTTTGTATGAGCTCCTGGGGTCAAAGATTCCAGAAGGGTGACCTGTTACGGATAAGACCCCTCACGCCTGTCTCTGACTCTGGGGATGTCACCACCACTGTGCATATGGATGTAGCCGCACCTGAGCTACCAAAAGACTTCCATTCTTTATCAACTCTGGTAAGAGGAGGTGGGAGAGGAGCATTTTTGTGAAATGACTAGAGTAGCTGAAATCAGTGTGTTGAAGAACTTGTGGGAAGATTCCCTGGATGCTGGCAAATAAGTTGCTTACCCTCTCTTTGTGTGGGTCTGAGGGAGTGGAAAATCTTCCTTCATTTCTGAAAAATGTGCCCTTTCTATGGATGGATCTTAACCTTGCTAGCTATCGGGTTAATTTCCATGGAATGAAACCTACAGATTAATGTGAGAAAGTGAAATTTACTTCTCCGGGGGCGTATCTTGGGGCGGAGCTTAGGTTCTCCTAGTGACCCAGCCTTGGGTCAGGCTATGTGGGTGGCAGCTGGAGAAGCCTGTGCTTTTACATCAGATTGTCTTCACTGGGTGACACCTCTGCCTTCCCGTGGCAGCCGGCTCCTTGATGTGAGTTGGGTACAGTAAGTCACTCTTGTTTTTGGTTTTGTAACTTGCTAATATCTGTGAAAGCATTTGGAAAAATTGCATCTCAGCTTGGAGAAGTTGAGAACTATAGGCTGCTAACAGAAGTGGAAATTGTGGTTGTCCTGGGCTGGAAGCTTATCTGAAAGAAGAGTGTAGAAAGCAGATTTGGAGAGGGATGGGAGGGCCTTGTGGGGCAGCGGGGAAGTTGTGGAAGCGGTGGGCCTGCCGGCCAGGAGCTCCTCAGAGTTCCCTGGCATTGGGCTCTTGGGCAGGTCTGGGAGGGCTGAACACTGGGAAGAAGTCGAGAAAGTGAAGTGCCTTGAAACCCGCTGGGGTGTTGAAAACAGGCTTAGCCGAGTCTCCAGATGATTCTATGTAAAAATATTGGGAGCATTGTGATCAATTAAATCCCTTTTAAAATTTAAAGCAGCCTTTTTTACATGGTACTTTTTTTTTTTTTTTTTTTAAGTGCATAACTCCTCCTCAGAGCCCTGATCTCGTGGAGCCATCAACAAGGACACCTGTTTCTTCCCAAGTAACAGACTCCAAAGCATGCACAGCCATGGCCGCCCTCCAGTCCTCTGCTGTGGTGGCCAGAGCACTGAGTGGAGGGATGGAGAGGGGCCTGCCGGGTTTGGAGCCAGTGCCCAGCTCTCCGTGCAGGGCCGTGGGGACCAGCGTGATCCGACACACTGGGGAGAGCCCTGCTCCTGCCTGCTGTCCCGCCACCCAGACTCCAGATGGCCGGCTTTCTGACAACAGAGAAGCAGCAGAGCAGCTTTTGGGACACTTTGAAACTTTGCAGGATACACACCTCACGGACCGTTTACTCAGCACTAACGCGGTGTCCTGTCAGCCTTGCTTGCACGAGCCCGGAGGCCTGCTCCCCACTGACAGAGGTCCGCAGGCAGGGTGGCCTGGTGCGGTACAGACTTGCTCACCAAAGAATTACGGAAATGACCTGCCCAGGAAAACCACCCCTCTGATTTCTGTCCCTGTCCCTGCTTCCCCTGTCCTTTGCCAAATGATCCCTGTGACTGGACAGAGTGGCACGTTCTCAGCTTTTTTGAAGCCGCCTCCCCAGTTGTCTGTGGGGACTGCGAGACCCATCCTAGCCCAGGCTGCTCCAGCTCCGCAACCTGTATTCCTGGGACCTCCTGTGCCTCAGGGAGCTGTGATGCTGGTCCTGCCCCAGGGCGCCCTCCCTCCGCCTGCTCCTTGTGCGGCCAGCATCCTGGCTTCGGGGAATACCAGGTTGTTGCCCCTCGCCCCTGCACCAGTGTTCATCGCCTCTAGCCAAAACTGTGTCCCTCAGGTAGACTTTTCCCGAAGGAGGAACTATGTTTGCACCTTCCCAGGCTGCCAGAAGACCTACTTCAAAAGTTCCCACCTCAAGGCTCATCTTCGCACTCACACAGGTAAGCACCAGGGCAGGGAGGGCATTGGGCACATCAGACCCAGTGGTTAGGAAGCACACCTGGAGCCGCCTTTGGGTGGGAGGGTATCATGAGAACCCCTGGTGAAGGAGGAAGTGTGGCTTTTTTCTTTGGTTCTGAAAAGCCTGTACAATCCTGTAAGGGTGAGCAAGGCTTCAGGAGTTTGCAGACAGCGCCAGCTGCTCACCCTGGAGAGAAAATGTAGTCTAGTTCTGTGTTGGTGTCTTTCGGGAGCTTTTAGAGTGACTCACAGTGCCCCCTTCTGTTCACATTGCAGTAGATGTTTTATTTTTATTTGTTTATTTTTAAGGGAACATGCATTCACGTTAAGTAAATATTATCTTATCAGCGTGACTTACGTTCACTGTGGGAAGGTCTGGCCAAACTATATTAAAGTTAAAATTCTAAAATTTTTTTTAAAGAGTATAGTTTTCTTACCTCTGAAAGTAGTTTTTAATTTAAAGTAAGTTGCACAAGACACTCTGCTGACCTAATGATCTGTTGTCTAACCAGCTCCGTCCAATTGAATTTTCTGCGATGGTGGAAATGTTTGCTGTCTGTCCTTTAGGGCAGCCACTGCCTGCTCACATTTCAAGTGTGGCTAGTGTGCCCGAGGAACTGAATTTTACACTTTTTAATACTTGAAGTTGAAATCGCTCCATGGGACCTGTGCTTTCCCTGCCGCCCACCGGTGGTCTGGGTGTTGCTGGATAGAATGGCTCTAGTAGGTGAGGGCACCACTTCTCAGGTGTTCTGTGAGTTTGTGTTCTGTTGCTGTGATCATGGTGGCCTCCACGTGGAGAATGAAGTGCCGTCTGCGGGTCAGACACTATAAGAGGAACTCTAGTGCTCCTCCATTCCACAGAGTGGGTGTTTCCTTCCATGATAAGGCCAAACTTGGCCATGAAGTACTTGCCTCTGCCCATGCAGAAACAGCCTTCCTACCTTCTCTTCCATATTTCCACCCTCCCTCTCGGCCCTCTGTCCGTCTCTACTTACCGAGAGCCTCCAAGGGCCTCCCGAATTAGTTATTAGCTTGTTCCTTATCTTCCTTTCTTTTTTTTTTTTTTTTTTTCCTTATCTTCCTTTCTTCTTTGGCCCTAGTCATTTACTGTAGATCTTGCCACATTCCCCCTTTGCTTTTTAGTTACTTACGTATTTATCTCACCTGGATATACTCCTGGTGCTTGATAACGAGGGCATGACACTAGCTAGTAAATGAGGGTGGGTTGTTTGCACGGCAGATGGACGTGGGGACTGTGTCAGGGAACCGGTGCTTCTGATGGAGTTGACCTGCTTGCCTCTCTTAACGGGCTTGTTGACTTGGTGAGCTCCACATTTCACCGGGGCTGTCCACGGGAACCTCACATCACACCGGAGCACAGCTTCCAAGTTTGGGGAGGTGACTGAATGAGGTTTTGCTGTGGATTCAGTATTCCTTGGTAAAGTACTGACAGAATGACTTACAGTGATTAAAACAAGCTTCTTCCATGTTTCCTAAAGTACTTCCAGTTAAATAACTGGCCGGAAGCAGTGGCTCACACCTGTAACCCCAGTACTTCGGGAGGCCGAGGTAGGCAGATCACGAGGTCAGGAGTTTGAGACCAGCTTGGCCAACATGGTGAAACCCTATCGCTACTAAAAATACAAAAATTAGCTGGGTGTGGTGGTGCGTGCCTGTAATCCTAGATACTCAGGAAGCTGAGGCAGGAGAATCACCTGAACCTGGGAGGTGGAGGCTGCAGTGAGCCAAGATCACGCCACTGCACGCCAGCCTGGCGATGAGTGAGATTCTACCTAAAAAAAAAAATTCAAAAAAAATAAATGAGCATAAGAGTTCTGAAGAATCCCCTTCTGTGCCATTTTATAAACTTGGAGTTTTCATGAGAAGTAGAAACTGGGCAAGTTTCCCTTGGCTAAGACCGCTTTTTATATATATGTTCCTATCAACCTGAAAAGTCTTTAAATTGGCGTAAGGTAGAGTGGATGGATGCTACATTTTTTTTCTTTATTTTTCTATAAGTTATCGGAGTACAGGTGGTATTTGGTTACATGAATAAGTTCTTTAGTGGTGGTTTCTGAGATTTTGGTGCACGATGCTACATTTTTAATTAATTAATTTTTATTTTTGGTAAAGACAGGGCCTTACTTTGTTGGCCAGGCTGGTCTGGAACTCCTGGGCTCAACTGATCCTCCCTCCCAGCCTCCCAAAGTGCTGGGATTGTAGGCGTGAGCCCCTGTGCTTGTACTTGGCTTGATTTATTTTTAGTTTTAGATACATTTTGAAAGATTAGCTTGAAATCTTTGGGTGCTAACAACAGACTGCATGTTAAGTGTGGCAGGAATAAATGCCTTATGGAGGATTTCTTGACCCAGATCATCCAGTTCCGTGTGGGGCTGAGTGCCTCACAGGGTCGTGGGGTGTCCCTTATGCTGTGCTGAGGCGCAGGATCTGAGAAATAGAGACAGGATACAGAAGTACAAGGAAAACGCAGCTGGGCTTAGGGGGCCACGCCACCTATAAGTGGAGTCAGGTGAGGCCCCGAATGTCCAGAAGCATAAGTATTTATTGTGTATAGGTTAGGGGGCAGGGCAGTGAGTGAAATCATCTTGTAAGGATAGTGATAGGGTCATGAGCAATAAAACATGGAGTCCACCCCCATTATGTCACCTAGGCCAGGAGGTGGACAGTGCGCAGCAAGGGGCCCGTTCCCACAAAGGCAAGGGCCATGTGCAGTAAGGGGTCCACCCCCATTAGGTCACCAAGGCTTGAAGGTGAGCCGTGCACAGTGAAGAGGGTGCAGTGTGCAATACTTTTATCTATGGGCAAACTACTTTTAAGAAGGTTTATAGGAGGATATTTTAAGTCACATAGCAGTGACAGAGCTGTTAAGGTTACCGCCACTTTCTGGGAGCTTCCAATGAGTTTTATGGGAAGATGCTTTTTGAGCAGCGTAGCAGCAAGAGCTGATAAAGTTTGCAGTTACCAAAGTGGATTGCCGTTCTAAGGGCAGCCTTCCACAAGAACTGGAGCAAGGTCCTACCACTCCTTTATCAGGAGGAGTGGCTCTCGCCCCAAGCCTGCCATGCAGCGAGTATCTTGACGATACTGAACGCTGCCGCCTGGGCCATGGATTCTTGTCCTGGTGTAACTGTTTTTCCTTTCATTCATGCTCTGCACTGTGTTTGCTCTAGACATTCTTCCGATTATAAGCTGCTTATTCCTTAATTCATGCTCTGTATTGTATCCACTTTAGGCATTCCTCTGATTATGAACTAAAATATATATATGTAGGGAAATATTCTTTAGGCAGTCATACTATTATATGATTATATATAGAGGATTATATAAAGGAATTCTTTAAGCCCTAATTCTATAAACTAATATTATGATTATGTAAACGATTATATGAAAGGAAATTGCTGAGTTGTAACACTATAAAGTGAGATATTCTTTAAGCCCTAACTGTGCCAGGGTTTTGCTTAGCTTTTATTCCTTGGTGCCTATATGGGGGGTTACCCACAGTTCCAGAATAAGAAGACCTCACTTTCTTGTGAGATTGATGAACACGATTTTAAATCGACATGAATTAACCCCTTGAATAAGGTGCTTAGCATCTCCTTTCTCTTCAGCATGTGTTTTCTCATGCATAGGGGAGAAGCCTTTCAGCTGCAGCTGGGACGGCTGTGATAAGAAGTTTGCTCGTTCGGATGAGCTGTCTCGCCACCGCAGAACTCACACAGGGGAGAAGAAGTTTGTGTGCCCTGTGTGTGACCGGCGTTTCATGCGCAGTGACCACCTGACGAAGCATGCCCGCCGCCACATGACGACCAAGAAGATCCCAGGCTGGCAGGCAGAGGTTGGCAAGCTGAACAGAATCGCCTGTGCAGAGAGCCCCGGGAACCTGCTTGTGACCACACCAGCCTCCACTTGAAAGGTCCACTAGGATGTTACTCACGGGGTTTCTAAAAGCCTCTTTTCAGGAACGGAACTGACAGATTGCTCTCTCGTTGCCTCACCCCCCAAAAATGGTTTTGGGGGCTTGGGAAGATGGGGGAGCTGGTTTTGATGAAGGTGTGTTAACTTTTCCACTTGGGACCCTGTTCAATATGTTCTGTAGTTTCAGAAGTTGTTTTTGTTTTTTTTGTTTTTTTTTTTTTAAGAAACAGTAGAAAATTTGATAATCGAAATCACCAGCATTCAGACAAATATTTCGGCTAGAAAGTTTACAAAATCTGGATTTTTACAACTTTCTATTGATGTTTTGTAGAAATAAGACAGGGTACTAATTTTTATACTGTTTTTTATAAAAATATTTGTATTGTTGGTGCTCAAATCACCGGTTTCTAGATAGATCATTTTGCAGCCGCCTTTTCAGTATTTAATAACCAAGTTTTTTATGATGACCCGTTTTAGTAAATTTGACATGTTACTCCACCCAAAAAAATCACAGGTTATCTGGCCTTTGAGATCTTTTTGGAATCGGAACTGGTTGAATAGGGGCCTCTTAAAAGGGAAAAATTAATTTTGCAATCAGCTTCTTCGTAATATTTTCGAGGAAATTCTAGGCAGCCATTCTGGTCATGTGGTTGACTAGAACTAGTGAGCTGTGTCCGTGGTGCGTCTTGTGAAGGATGTACCCTAGGGAGTGACATGAGCCACTGGGCACATCCCAGGGAGCAGGCGCTGCTGCAGGCTGTGGTCTGTGTGTAATTGTCTTGGCCATGGCTCTGCTGAAAGCAAACCATTGAGTTTCTTACTTGTACCTAAAATACCAAAAAAGATAAACACTCACATCCAGCCACTTTGTGATCGTCAGTTGACTTGTTTTGCTGTGGCCTTATCCCTACTATACTGTGGGAAGAGTAAGTTCTCAGTGAAAAAGGAAGTGTCCGTATTAGTTGGATGAACTTTCCACCAGAAGACAGCTTAGCCGAGGGTGAGATGCATGTGCGGGCAGGCAGTGCCAGGGTTCTGCTTCCAAATACTAGAAACTCGAGGAAATGCAAGTTACGCCAAATGGCAGTAATACTACCCAACTGCCCTTTTGTTCATTTTTTTTTTTTTTTTTTTTGAGACAGAGTCTTGCTCTGTTGCCAGGCACCAAGCTGGAGTGCAGTGGCGCAATCTCGGCTCACTGCAATCTCTGCCTCAGCCTCCTAAGTAGCTGGGACCACAGGCGTGCGCCACCACGCCCAGCTAATTTTTGTATTTTTTAGTAGAGATGGGGTTGGACCATGGTCTCAATCTCGTGACCTCATGATCCGCCCGCCTCGGCCTTCCAAAGTGCTGGGATTACAGGCGTGAGCCACTGTGCCCGGCCCTTTTGTTTGAAGGAAATTGTTTTGATCAAACAAAATTACTTGGAATGGTATGTTTTACAGTCTACCTAGAAAATAGATGATGGATGACACTTGTAAATGGTGTGAGCGCATATCCTAGATAAACAAGAGAACGTGGCCGCCTGCGTTCCAGAAGCCACTGACACTGGTTCTTGCTAAACGGTGGAAGTTCAGGCAATGGAATAAGTGTAGGAGCATACAGAACGCTGTACTAATTTGGTAGCCTGGGAATATTTTTTGATGGTTCAGTATGTATTTAGATTTTGTCTCTGCCAGTGAGTTATTGGCATTCGTCTTTATTTAAATGATGGTAAGGTGAAATATTGAATAAAACGAGGTTTTGTGTTTTGTTCTTTGTAGTCTGATAAAATCCCCACCTGGTCATTCACTGTGAGTTACTTGGTACCTATTAACTTGCCCCTTAGTATCAGCTGTTATTAGACACAAATGTGTATGTTTTGAGGAGGTTTCCGTGTGTTTGGACACTCCCGTAGGTGAGTCCTGTCGTCAGGAGGCGGCGCGGCTGCGGGAGAGCCACAGCGTGCACGGTTCCTGTTTCCCCATCACCCAGTCCTTCCTTCCACTCATCCAAATCAGCATCAGCATTTCCCACTACACTACACATGGCATCAAAGTTGGATATTTTTCTTAATTACGACATGCAGAGTAATGTTAGTCCTGCTAGTATTCTGGTGGATAAGGTCTTTGAGTATTAGGTTGCTCATCACAGAACATTCTCTAAGTAGTGCTATTTCTCAAAAAGAGATACATTTTGGAAATGGTTTAAATTTACACTTCCATTTCCTGATTACATTTGCAAATGCTTTCTCTAAACCATCCTCCTCCCTCCTCCATTTGCCTGTCGACAGGTTTTTGGACAGAGTCCCTGTCTGAAAACTGTTCTAAGCAGCAGAAGTTACCCTTGTGTGTAGATTCTTCGTGGAGCCCCTCAGCGGCGGCTCTGGGTGCTGGAGGCCGCTGGAGAGGCCGGCTCCCCTAGTGCACTTTATTGCCTGAGCAGTTTTGCTTGATCTTTTTTGACTTTGAGCCTTTTAAGTAGTTTGAATTGTAAGACTGAAAATGTTTCATAATTATGTTTTATGTAACAGACTTTGACTTATTATTTAAATGAGTATGTGTAAGGTAACTTTTCTTTGAATCATATAAAACTTGATTTTAAACCAGATGTGTGTCCTGTGTCATAACTGTAACTAGAGACTATTTGGAAGAGTCTATAAAATTCATTGCGCATTGGCCCAGACTCATCTCTACTCTTTGTTTTCTGGGGTTTTATTCTGTTTCTTTGGGTTCCTTGGAGGGTTCTTTCTGAAAGGAATGGGTGAAGAGAGCCAGGTGTGGTGGCTCAAACCTGTAATCCCAGCACTTTGGCGAGTTGAGACAGGAGGATCCCTTGAACCCAGGAATTGGAGGAGGCTGTGAGCTATGATCACACCACTGCAGCCTAGCCTGGGCGACAGAGCAAGACCCTGTCTCAAAGGGCCAACGTGTGAAGTGGCCACTCCGGCAGACCCAGTTGTGTGCTGGGTAACCCTGTGGCCCTCAGTGCTCATGCCCTTCCTGTCCCGGGGGTGGCTGCAAAGAGGTAGAATTCAAAGTGGTTTTCCAGCCACTCTGGAAGAAGTGCTTGGAGGTCTCTTGCGTACTTCCTTCCTCCCCGGCCCGGGGTTACAAAGCACGTCCTGGAGCGCAGGCTTCACTCTGGCTCTGCACATTCTCTCTCCAACCCTCTAAGGGGGCCTTGCATCCACACCACTGAAGGAGCTCCCGGGGTGTGCTCAGGGCTTTCGTGGGCTCAATTCTCAGGCCTGTCAGTGGCATCAGCTGGAGCTGGTGGTGCCCTGAAGGCCACCTGCCCCTGCCCTCCCCTCACCTCGGGGGTCTGTGCTTGGCCGGCCCTCATCTGCCTGCCCTAAGTTCTCATGCTGCAGTCCCTTGGCAATGTCTCCCAGCCTCACCACTTAGATTAAAACAGCATCCCTACCAGAAACACCCCCGAGGGGCTCTCCTTTGCACTTGTCTCCTGAGCTGGTGTCCCTATATCCACCTGTCTACTTGGCATTGATCAGTTAGCATTGCACATTTAAAATGACCAAGTGTCTCATCTTCTCACTTGACCCTGCAGTTCTCACAATTGACCCTGTTGTCTTTTGTTTGCTTGCTTTTGAGATGGAGTCTCGCTCTGTTGCCCAGGCTGGAGTGCACTGGTGCGATTCAGCTCACTGCAATCTCTGCCTCCCGGGTTCAAGCGATTCTCCTGCCTCAGCCTCCTGAGTAGCTGGGATTACACGCCTGGCTAATTTTTGTATTTTTAGTAGAGACGGGGTTTCACCATGTTGGTCAGGCTGGTCTTGAACACCTGACCTTGTAATTTGCCTGTCTTGGCCTCCCAACGTGCTTGGATTACAGGGGTGAGCTATCGCGCCTGGCCAGACCCCATTGTCTTTAAAAAGAAGAGTGCATACATCCTTGCAAGACCTTAACTCTTCTCTCACCCCACATCCCGTCACAGTCCTTGACTTCTTTTAAAACATCCAGCATCACCAAGAAGGAACCAGTGTCCAGGAACAGAGCCCTTTGAATGGAGACCAGAAGTAGATGTTTATGCCCAAGAAAAGCAGGATTTCATTCTGCACTTCTCCCAGACGGTTAGGGTGCTGAGGACGAGGTGGGGCACCCAGAGACAGGAGATACTATTGCCCGGCTAGGAGGTCCTCCAGTGCCATTGGAGGCAAGGGTCACCAGGGCTGGACGGTGCTAGTAGCGTTCTGGGAGCTGGTGGTGCTAAGGAAACAGGATACCAATAGTCTCCAGCGAGCCCAACTGTGGGCTGCTGTGTGGGAGTGCTGCAAGCTCTCTTCCTGGTGGCAGATGACATCATGGACTCAGCACTCACTCGCCAGGGGCAGATCTGCTGACTCCTCGCCAGGAGTCAGTTTAGATCAGGCGTCCCCAAACTACAGCCCGGCCCGCGGGCCGCATGCGGCCCCCTGAGGCCATTTATCCGGCCCCCTACTGCACTTCAGGAAGGGGCACCTCTGTCATTGGTGGTCAGTGAGAGGAGCACAGTATGTGGCGGCCCTCCAACGGTCTGAGGGACAGTGAATTGGCCCCCTGTGTAAAAAGTCTGGGGACGCCTGGTTTAGATGGATGCTATCAGTGATGCTATGCATGTGTCTACTGGAAGCATGTATCTACTGCCTACTGCCAGGAGCAGCCCTGTCACCTGAGCCTGATGGAGTGCTTCTGCAGAGTTCCTATCAGACCGAGACTGGGCAGAACCTGGACCTCACACAGCCCCCCAGGGCGATGTGGATCTTGGTGGATTCACTGAAAAGATGTACAAATCTGGCCGGGCGCAGTGGCTTACGCCTGTCATCGGAGCACTTTGGGAGGGCGAGACGGACGGATCATGAAGTCAGGAGATCGAGACCATCCTGGCTAACACGGTGAAACCCCATCGCCACTAAAAAAAAAAAAAAAAAAAATTAGCCAGGCGTGGTGGCATGCTCCTGTAGTCCCAGCTACTCGGGAGGCTGAGACTGGAGAATCACTTGAATCTGGGAGGTGGAGGTTGCAATGAGCCAAGATCATAACCCTGCATTCCAGCCTGGGCAATAGAGTGAGACTATCTCAGAAAAAAAAGGACAAGCCTACTGTCACATACAAGACCATGTTCTACTTCTGCTGTCCTGGAGTTGCAGCCAGAAAGATCCTGCTGGAGACGGGAGAGTCCTTTCAGATTGAGGATGATCATCTTGACCTCTCTGGGGATCCCAGTGTGACCAGCAAAGTTGGCACTGACATCCAGGGCCACAAATGCAGCTGGCTGGTGGTTCGGTGTCTGCAGGACCACTCGGAACAGTAACCAGATCCTGCAGGAGAA